ATGTTTTGTCTCCCCTGATTAGTTAAGCCTCCGGTCGTGCAGAGGGACGAGGATTTTGAGGGCGCTCAGTGGAACTGTGAAAGCTGCACTTTTCTTAACCATCCAGCATTGCACCGCTGCGAACAGTGCGAGATGCCACGCAACACTTGAGCAGGCTTCTCTGCGACCCTTCCCGACAGGCCATGAACCTCACTCCTACTGCTAATCTTCTGTTCCGTCATGCAACGTTCAAGTCCCGCCTATCATTTGACGATTACTGTCCCTTGTGCCCTCAGCTTCACCCAGCAATAACTGAGCCGTTCCCCACGGAAGAAGAGACAACTACTCTAGTGAAATATTATCCAATCAGACCCACCCTGTTACCACTTGAGGAGCTTCCTGCACTTGTATTTACTTTTTTCTACTGAACGTTGCTTTAAAAGAGGAAGAAGGGTGACTTGACAGCAGAGACAAGCAAAGGGGATTGATTGATCGATCAATTTGCACTGGAGTGGACCGAGAAGGTGTGGTTTAAGAGAGGGCATAGCTTGCTAGATGTTGCTGAGGTGTGGTTTACCATTCCAAGCAGAATAAGACTGCTGAGTTTACACGGAAAAGCCCAAACAATCCTGTGCACAGGGCTTCTCTTACAAAACGTTCAATGAATTGAGATAAACAGGGGCTGAATAATTTTAATGTAGACTTTACACTGTATGTGCTCACTATGAGCTCTTCTTATGAATGAAGAACACTACAAGACCTGCATATGAACCTATACCTGGTACTTTTATGCATATTATGCCACACTGTATTCGGTGTTTAAGATGTTGATTTCTTGTGCAAATGCCTCCAGTTGCTGTACTAAATAAAGGATCTGATTCTACGTTACTATATGCTGATGTCGAGATATCTCGGCTGCAAACCATGAAACATACCCCATTTTTCTTTTTATCCGTTTATTCGGTTAGTATATATAAATTAGTACAGTATGTCACAACTGCATTCAGGACTCAAAAATCCTGAAAGAAAGCATGCAATCACTCAAACACGCACTCAAATGATACATGCCCCCTCATTCAAACATCAACATGCGCACAACAGACTGACAGTGCTAAGAAATAATTCTTTAACTACCGGTATGGATACTTGTGCAAAAGAAGACTAATAATCACTCTTCAGATACCAGTCAAAAACTAGTCTATTTGCAAGGCTTGGTTAGACCACAAGACCTAGGTTTTCTACAATGCAAAGTATCTTCTACCAAATCCCTTATAAACTGACGGTGAGATATGTAGAAATATTTTTCAGATGTGCACAAAGTAACCGCTTGATGATAATTCATGTGCTATGTACATGATCTGTGCTTAAAGGGATAGTTAACATTGAAATTAATTTTTGATACGTTTTAGCTTACCTCCAGGGCATCCAAGATGTAGGTGTCTTTGTTTCCACAGTATTTTCAATTTTGACATTTTTCGGTCGAACCGGTGTTGTCTGTCAGTCATATAATGCAGTTTTAGGGGGTCCACCTCAAAGAGCATTCACAGAGAAGTCAAAATTAAATGATTTAATGACTCGTAAATATAAGTACACATTGATGGCCTAAGACACGAAACGAGCGGTTTGTGTGAGAAAACGAACAGTATTTATATAATTTTTATTTTACCTCTTGTTAAAGCCACACTATGCACTCTCTGATTTTTTTTTTTTTTTTTGTAAAACAGTGACCTCTAGAGCCGCTGTGATGTACTTGCACTGTCGTAAATAACCGTTATTCCCTGTTACTGCATACCTACTGAACTACTGTCAAGTTAGACTACTTTATTATAATAAAGTTGCCTATCGCATACTGGCTTAAAACGTTTTTACATGATTTCTGCTAAATCACAAGTAAATAGCCTAATAGTGTAGGACTAATGTATTATTTCATTTGTGTTTAATTTGATTTTAATGTAAACATTACAAAATGCCAGATGACATCAATAAATGTACGTCGCATTATTTCATAACATTGGCCGTTATGATTTCATTAGACATGATTGACAAAATGGTTAGCAAATTGTGTTCAACAATTACACTATTTACAACCTCTAGGCTTATATATGTCCTAATAATTATGTGAGATATTGACTACTATGTTCTCATGATAATCGCAGGAATCAACATCAAGATTTAATTGATTAATAATCAACACAATTTGAAGAAAAATTACAGTCGGGAAGTGCACTGTTAGTCTGATAAAGTTTATAACAGACAGTAACTTACGCCTTAAAACCAAACACAGGACTAGTAACGTTACGTGATACACATCACAACACAGTTTGCTAGCTGAGTTCAGCTAGCAAACTAGCTCAGTCTTGTGGCAACCCCGGCAATAAAACATAACGAGAGAAAAACAACAACAAAACTAAGAGAAACAACTGTTTGTTATGAAGTCTGCTTACAGCTTTTGTAAACGAAAGCTAGCTAGACGTGTGGGAATTTTTTTAACTGGTCTAATTATCAACAACGGATGAATGAACAGCTCCGTAAAAAATGACAAACTAGCGCAGCAACATACAACATAGAAGAACGCAAACAAGTTTACAAATAAGAGATTTACTTACAAGTCCATCACAAGATTGGCAGGTCAGCACAATCAGTGCTGCTTTTAAGCTCGCGCCAACGAGTGAAAGCCCGACCGAGTGGACTCGTGTCCGGTTTCTAGCACGGTCCGATCCTCTTTCCCTTTTTCTGGACATTTCTGACCGAGTTTTCTTGGATGCGCGCAAGTAGCTTAACGTTGATGTGTGTGACGTCGTTGCCGTAAAGCATTTCGTGATTCTCGCGAGCTGTGTCAGGGGCGCCGCTCTCAAACTTGCATGGCTGGTTTTTCCGGCGGCGTCCCCCAAGCTTTCCTAGCAGGAAAAGTCCAAGCTTTCCTTCCAAGCTTTCCTTCCTTTGCTACCAGGATGATTCGCCCTACTATGACTTTGTTAACCACCGAAACGACTTTGAAGCTGTTATATTAAGGTACAGATCTTGCATAGAGTGCAGCCGTCGAACTGATCTGAATCAGATGTCCAACTGAACCGAACTGAACCGTCTCTTCTTCTTCTCTTGAAAAATGGCGGATTGCAACCAACTTTTAAGTGCATACCGCCACCTACTGTACTGGAGTGTGTAACATTATACTATTTAATTGTTCTCATATGGGCTCTATGCACGGCGGTATTTCCGGTAAAGCATTAGGGATGCTCGATAACTTCCGCCGATCGTAGAGTCCAATGCAATACCGAGAATTTATATTGAATTTTATACTCCATGGTTATACTAATGAAACGTTAGTCACAAAAACAGATAAAACAGACACCCCTCGTTGTGTTTATGCTACTTTTTAAAATTATATTAAGTAAACATAATTATATATAAAATTACATCTAAACGTATGTACGTTTCGTTTCAATGACGGGAGGACAGTAAATTTTGAAGACTCTGCCATAATCCCGTTTTCCTCGGTTCTCCTCCGCTTAAATCTCCACAACCGGAAATGGACGAGCATCCTTGCGTCAAATGCGGAACTTATGCGTGCATATAGCCCATTCTAACCTACTGTCTATGATTCTAACTGAACCGTCTCCAGACATTACGCCGGAAGTGATCTCCTGCGCGTCTATGTCACGCATTGTTTACACGGAGATTTCAGAAGTTTTACCTTTCAGTAGACATATTTAGATATACGGGAAATCGCAATACGATTTTGATATATCTAAATATGTTTAGTGAAAGGTAAAACTTCCGAAATCTCCGTGTAAACAATGCGTGACGTAGACGCGCGAGAGATCACTTCCGGCGTAACGTCTGGAGAGACGGTTCAGCCTCTGGTTCAGTTGAGTTCAGTTGGACATCTGATTCAGATCAGTTCAACGGCTGTTAACAAGAGGTAAAAACGATATAAATACTGTCCATTTTCTCACACAAACTGCTCGTTTCGTGGCTTAGGCCATCAGTGTGTACTTACATTCACAAGTCATTAAATCATGTTTAATTTTGACTTCTCTGTGCATGCTCTTTGAGGTGGACCCCCTAACGATTTGACCAAAAAATTTCAAAATTGAAAATGCTGTGGAAACAAAGACACCTACATCTTGGATGCCCTTGAGGTAAGCTAAAGTCTAGAATTGTATAGCAAATTTTCATGTTTGAAACAGTCATTTAGGATGCGATCAGGAATTTTGCTTGAGGCAAAATATTTCCCCATGCAGATTTTGCAATGGGTTCAAATTTTCCAGGTAAAATTTGCCTATTTTGAAAGTGACTCCTCAAGATTTTGCTAATGTGACCATTTTATCATTATACTTATACTATACTGATATTATATAAAGTATACCTATATTATACTGATACTGGCTGATTAGTACTTTACTGTACTAACATCTTTCTTTTTTTGCAAATTGCATGATTTTATGTTTTTGGATGCATTCCAAGCCTTTAAAACCGTCTATCTTTCAAGTCTCAAAATGAATGTGCCTATCATGGCAGTTTAATTTTCTGTCTGCCTTGTTTCAAATCCCACCACAGATGGAGGTTTCTCCACTGATTACATCACAGACTGGCAGTATTCCTGTGAACATAGGTTGATGTTTGAAGTTTGATGAAGAGGTTTAATTGAATGATAGACTAATCTGAGGAAAAAGAGACTGCATGTACGCATCTAACAGCTCGGCATTGCTCTGCATTTTGAGGGTCTGTGTGTTTGCGACAAGAGCAGGTTCCGAACAAAAGTTCAGTGCATGAGCTGCTATCACAACAGTGAAGAGTACATTGAAGTGCATTGTGGGTGTCGTAGCATGTTTAGTAGTAATCTTCGTAGTTCTTAGGGTTCAGGCAGTAGAGAATGGCTCCTCCGAAGGAGAAGATGGTGGCTCCCCAGGCCAGACCGTAGCCCCAGTTAAACTCGTGATATATTCTCAAACTGATAGTCTCGATGAACTTGATAGGATACAGCACCAGACAGCAGGCCTGTAGGACCACTGTGAGAAACAGAGGAGCACTGGCAATGAAATTTGCAATTATCAAAGAGACAAAAGTAGCTTAAGGACATCAAAAGTCTTCTAAATCCTCAATGGGCTTTATTCCTTGATAAGTTCCTCTACAAAGTGAGCAAGAACCAACTTCAAAGCCATGTAAATATCTTCTTAAAAGACATGTGAAAATGTCTGTTTTAGATGTACCGTACAACTTTTCCCTGTGACGCATTCATATCGCGAACAACTGATTACTGAGGCAGCTGTGTGCTGTGGCTTGGAAAAAAAACTGTTTGGATGCAAAAATGTATTTGCTGTTTCCTGGTCCATTAGCTGCAGAAATTGCTTCTTAGAGTCGACAACACATTTTAAATTCATAATACATAAACCCTAATTTAATGTGCGTGGAAAACAGAAATGGGAAGCCAACTTGTTAATGTCTTAAACATAAGTGTGTGTGTGTTTATTTCACCTGCAGCAAAGAGCATAACTGCGACCGGTCGGTAGAAACGTCTTCTGGAGCGAATGCAGACAGACACCAGGGCCACCAGGAAGGAAAGGAGGATAAGGAAAGCTCCACCCAACAACAAAGCCAATGTGGCAATCTGCCAGTCTGCATTAAATCATTACACAAAAACACAAATAGTAGATCAGTTTCATATCGCATTACATTGCATGCATTATATTCATATTATATAAACACATTATATCCAATGAAAGTAAATTATCAAGGGATATACACCTCGTTTAAACGCTAAAGAAACTTTATTTTAAAGAAATAAAAAATGTGAACAATTTGGTATGTTTCTCAAAGAAAGATAATGAATGGCTTCACAAGACTTGAAATATCAACCACTCTTATAGTGTTTTTTTTTCTTTTCGTTTCAGTCTTCACAATGTAATTGCATGGAAAACGGTGACTAACAGTCTTAGAATGACATAAGTGGCTCATGTTTACATAGAAAAAAACTGTGTTTTGTGTGAATGGCCCTTTAAACTTCTTTTTACAGAGCCTCTAAACACGCTGACAAGTCAATACACACATGCCTACAGAATGGCTCACTTGGAACGCTTACATCTTGGGTTTGCGTAACTGAAAGAATGAACCTCTGCGGGCAGCAGAGAGCTTATCGACAATTCTGGTGGGCTAAATGGGGCATCACATAATGTATTCCTCCCTCCTTTTTTCTCTCCTTCAGCCCATCTTGTTTCTGCTTTTCATTCAAGCACTCCGAGACACTCAGCTAGAGTAGGGCCCAGAAATAGCGCCGAATCCTCCATGGAACGCAGGAGTGAGGGAGGGGGCAAGGAGAAAGAGTCAGAGAGGAGGTGCCTGAAACAGTATGCCTGCTTCCATATCTGACGACATGAGAGTAAATGTGGGGAATCTCACATGCACTTTAGGACAACTGAGGAATCTCATTAGTTAGGCAAAAGGAAAACGCATTATAAGTAGATAATCTCTGAGGACTGACTTGCAAAGTTTCTTTAGTTACGTGGGCTGAGGGAGGTTTTTTCTTCTTCTTCAAATAGTCATTAATTATAAGTCAATATGAAAAATTGTTCAAATTAGTTAGTAGTAAGTAATTTACATTTTAGAGACAATTACTTTTCATTTCTGCTCCATCAACTAAGATAAATCCAAACAAAGCCACATTAGAATGCGTCTCTCAAGCAACGCATAGTAATGGTGTTTTTGTATGAATCAGTTAAGCAAATGATTCTAAGACTCACTTGTAAGGACAGTCACTTGTTTTGAATTATGAATGAATCTGAACAAATCGGTTGAGAGAGTGATTAAATGACTCGCTCATAAAGACAGTTGCTGCATCGCATGCACACTTGAGAATCTCACCGGAAGAACTAGGTCATCTGAGTACTTTTTGTCTACTCTTTTATGAGTACTGTGAATTGGGACATGCATCTTTTGTCACATACTTTTTTTCGCCTACTGTATAGACATTAGTAGGGGAGTGTGCAGTTTCGAATGCAGCAGTGTTGATGAGTTGGCTGAGTGAATAATTCAACAACTCATTCATAAAGGCAGTCAATTGTTTTGAATTATGAATAAATCAGTAGACAAATTGATTGAGTGGACGATTAAATGATTCGCTCAAAAAGACATTTGTTTTCAATCATGAATGTTTTTGAACAAATCGGGTGAATGAATGGTTCAATGACTCATAAAGTCACCTACTAGCATATCAATGTAACCTATAGAAAGGCTCACTTAAAATATTTTTTTTAATTACAGCATGCTTTGTTAGTTTTTCAATATGGGGAATGGAGAAAATAACTGTTAAAAAAAGAAGTATGTTTTATCAGTGCTACCTTACAAAAAAATACAGAAAAATCATTTTCTATTATTCAAGTGCAAGCAAACAATCTAGTGGAACACTATGCATCATAAATAAAATCATAGTCACATAGTGTTTGCACTGTTACACAAGGAAAACAAGAACATTACAGCAACCATTACTATTAAATTATGCAAAACGTATGATGTCTTAGGTTTGAAATTCCTAAAACCTGACATCTTATTTTACTTTATAAAAGAGGCCAACAACAGTACACTATTGCATTCTGACTCTGCCATATATATTGATTATTAATGTGTTATGATTACAAATAAATTTGTGAAGAATTGTTTTGAGAAGTTAGAGAAATTGTTGAAATTACATACTGTATACACACACACACACACACACACACACACACACACACACACACACATATATATATAGGCCTATATATATATATTAGAGCTGTCAAACAATTAATCGCATTCAAAATAAAAGTTTGTTTACATGATATATGTGGGTGCACTGTGTATAATTATTTTGTATATATATATAAATATACACACAAATGCATATATATTTAAGAAAAAAAGTATTTATATATAATATATATAATATAAATTATACATAAATCTACATACAGTATATACATGAAATTTTAAATTTAAATATATACAAGCATGTTTGTGTATTTATATCTAAAATAATTATACACAGTGCACCCACATATATTATGTAAACACAAACTTATTTTGGATGCAATTAATCGTTTGGCCTTATATATATATATATATATATATATATATATGTGTGTGTGTGTGTGTGTGTGTGTGTGTGTAGTATATCATTTCAGCAATTTCTCTTAACTTCTCAACAATTCTTCACAAACTTATTTGTAATCATAATATACACAAGCATAACATACAATATACACACACACTTTAAAACAAAGACTATTATGATGTTTTCGTTTAGTTATCAAGTGATAAAAATGACTCAATTACTGAACCTGAGAAAGGCAACATTTCATAAGACCTCAATGGCTTGTTTGTTTCAATGAAACCATAAAAGCACTGGATCCTCTCACAGGGTTTTGTTATTACACAGTGATATCTGTAAATAGAAACATTTTCATCAGCTTGGGGAAATGATCTATAATTTTCTCTGCCGGAAAATAATCATCTCTAGCACTAAATCATGTCAAAACATTCAGGTTGAGAGGCTCTGGGCTACTTCAGCTCCATTCCACCGTACTATAGTTTCGAACATAAACAAACCCTTTTACTAAATACGGTTTATGATTTGGCATAATGTGTAATACATATATCTGTCACCGCAGGAAGTTGGAGAGAGATGTATGAAAACAGAGCTGCTGATCTTTGCTTCTATATAAAAACAAAACTCGACCTCCGACCTCTCTGGATAGCCACCAAAAGCCTGGGAATCCTCAACAAGAGTGTCCTTCCCCCATCTGAGAAAAAAAGACTTTTTTTCGACTTGAGGTCTACGTCTGAGAGGTCTCCGGCAGAGTAGAGCTTATCCAAAACCCCCTGCAGGACTACAGATGGAAATGAGGATACCAGATAAAAATCAAAACATTCATTACTATAATCTGTTTTTCAGCAACCAAGTGCCCCTTGGCAAGTTCTTTCAATCTGATACCGTGATGAGGGTAAGTCCAAAGTCATAGATGAGAAACTGAATTCCGTCAATAAGACACAAAGTCTCCACATTCCTCGCCATTCGCCGACAGGGAGAGAAATTGGTGTATAGTGCGCGCCTCTATCGAACCGCTGCCTCTTCTTCAGTCGAGCATGACATCCGCACAAAAAGACTCACACACTTTCGCCACATTCCTGTTGTTTGCGATTATCTCTCCCCGAGAGCTTTCACAACCTCGGATTTCTGGCGCATATGTGCATGTAAAAGGGAGTTAGTATATGTTAACATATCTATGTTGTTAAATTGACAGAGATAAACTAAAAAAATGATGCGCTGGACTCAATGAAAGGTTAGGAAGCAGATATGCTGGTTCATAGAAGACTGTGGAGTCAGCCGGTAATTGCACAGCTAATGAGATTTAGTTTAATGCACAGTGCATGACACAGAGAAAACACAGAGGAAATGGAGTGACTGATTACAGAAAGCACAAAATCAATAATGCGCTGCAGAGGAAAGCCATTCACCCAGGCCACTCCTTTGGTATTTTGACTGGGGCTTTATGACTTTATATGGAGTCAAACTGTGCTTTTTGAAAAAAATGACGGGACAGGGTCCAGAGCCAGAGACCTAAAATATCATCTTAACTGCTTTTTGCTTTTCCGCAACTATGCTATGAAAAAAATAAAATGTGGCACTGAGTAACTCTACACTAACATATGAAACTGATATGGAGGAACTGCCCCCAAACTGCAGTTTATTCACGAACAAACCTTCACGCATGCCAGAAGGGAAGTTTCTTTTTCAGTGCAAAATGACATTTCTAGAATGCGGCACTTGTTTCCTTGGTAACTAATCTGTCCACATTAGGGCCTCTAGGGAGCTCTCCTCTCAAACTTAACCTCACTCCTTGGCCGGTGAGGAGACGTTAACAAAGGCTCATTTTGTATACAACAAAAGCAGAATGAAACCCCAGCTGGACAACCGATTCCATCACACATTCCCACATCGTCCAAAAGCCTTTCCACCAAACAAGCTGTGAATAAAATGCAGTGTGCTATTAAATGTTAAGGATCAATATCAATTAATTAATGAAGCATTCTTCACAAACATTGTCTTAATTAATCCTGGCTTGCAGGCTGGAGTCTTTTTTGATAAAACAGGACGAATTCAAGGTTGTTTCCCCCTAAAAAAAATTTTGGTTCAATACTCAAGCTGTTTTAAAAGAAGACCTATTTTTAATTACTAAATAATTAAACAGTGACTATCTATTTAAACTTCCTTCTTATTCATTACATAGTAGCAACTATTAGAAAACAACTATTAATCTCTGACTATTTATTACAATTTGTCCTGGTACTTAAAAGAGTTTTAATTGAACTGTAATGTAAGAAAACAGCAATTGAGACAAAAATGTAACGAGGAACAACTGGAATAGATGCTTGTGTTAAATACGAATAGGCTAAGCTGAAATAGATGCAAGTATTTATTTAATGCTTTTAAAGGAGTAAACATTAAAACGACTAGTCATATCTGTTTTAAACTGGCTAAGAAGAGATTTAAAAAATCTTTTCTAAACTTTTTCTATTTTCTCTGTATTTTATAAAAGCTGGTTTAGCTTGAGCTGAACAATGAGTGATAATGATGCGCGAGGGAGCGACGAGTCCCTTTTGTTGTCTCATAAATCAAAGATGAGCCTCCGGGGTCATGATGCAGAGCTCACTAAAGTTAAAAAGACTGAACACGGTTTTTTTTTCTTCTGCATCTTAAATTATGTATATGCAGCTCATCCTCTCTGAACAATGTCTATTGCAAAGTTGCAAAAGTAGCGCGTCTCACTCACCGGTCCCCAGCGTGCTGCTGCACCGCCAGGTCGCGGAGGCAGCGAGCTTCCAGCAAGATTCCCACAAGGACAGGTGGTACTGGTCATCCGCGGTGACCCACGCCGGACTCAGCACGGCCCCGACATCCAGGCACAGCGCGAGGAAAATACACACCAGACCCACCAACTTCAGGGGCGTCAACGCCGACACGGGCACTTCCTCCGCTCCGCTCACGGATGAGGCCATGTCGGCTGTGCGCGGCGATGAGGAGTGATGTTGCGCTGCGTCGCGGAGAAGCCAAGATGATGATGTCTTTGGATCAGTATTCGCGATCAGTGTTTTGAAGATTGTGGAGCAGCTGCCCTCGCGCTCCTGTGAACGCGACTGCACTGCACATTATTGAAAAATCTCGGCTGCACCTGCAGCAGGGTCCTAGTGCCTAGGACTGACACGTGCCTCGTCTGAACGATTCGTTTACAACCCGAAATTAAACGGCCCGTGCAGATTTTGCGTCAACAATTCACTGACACTTTGAATGGACACTTTTCTTGTAAAATGTGTTTCATAATGTGTCAATAATCTTTGTTTTATTTAGTAATTCTAAAAACATTTTTTTTTAGAATGTGGTTTCTTTATACATGTTTTGATTAAATGTAGGCTAAATGTTTTCCCTTTCCAACAAAACGTTTGGATAGCATATAGATTACATGCAAATATTACATCCATTACATGCAATCCAACGCTCAAGTAGGTCTATGTGGCAAGTACCCTACAGCCGTCAGAGTTTAGTTTAATTTAATTTATGCTCTAAATTAGTTGTTGATAAACTATCTTTTTTTGTTGTTTCAATAGCTTTAAAAAAGACACATTGCTTAATGTGCGTGTTTGAGAGAGCACGAAAAATAAATAAGGTGTGTCTGAGAGAAGGCAGTGACCGGAAGTCTGACATTTTTCAGCGAATCGATTCTTTCGAACAGTCCATTCAGAACTGGTTAAAGGGATAGTTCACCAAAATATAAAAAAAATGAGTCATGAATTAATATAGCCTACTACACTCAAGTTGTTCCAAGCATGTACGAGTTTTTTTTCTTCTGTTGAACACAAAATAAAATATTTAGAAGAATGTTGGCAACCAGACAACAGAGGGCACCCGCTGACTTCCATAGTAAAAAAATATAACGTTACAATATTTTTCATCTTCTAGAACTTCATGGAGGTTTGTATGGCTGGAAGACTGAGCCCATTTTACCAGCCGCACTGCCTAGTCACTTATTGTAGACTACACATACCATTGCATTGTGAACATATTCAGACAGTTTCTGAATAACTTTCAAAAAAGTCCAATTCAAACGTTACTGTCAGTCATATGACAGCCGTCATAGTTGCTAGGCGACAAGAGCAGTCCTCTCACTGTAGGCTAGAATCGTCCCATAAAAAGAATGCTGCCTTTGAATTGGCACACAGCTTGTGTCTCCATCACTGAACTTACACATTTGGCCTAATTATATTTATCTTATGTATCTTAACTTCTTAAATTAACATTCATTCTTACATTTATTTTGTTTGAATATTACATATTCCATTTTATTCATTACTATTTTTTATTTGTACAGTTGTTATTTAATATTTTTTACATGACACAATTTTCCATTCTACAAAGCTGCCAACACTTTCCTAGTAAGATTTTGTCTTGCCAATAAACCACACAAAAAAATTATAAAATATTCATATTAAATATTTTTAAGAGAATAATATGGAGAAGTAACAAGCAATGAGTCAAAAAGCAACAGCAATAAAATGTTTCACCACAACCAATTAAAATGAAGCTAGGCTACTCAATTCATGCATTCAAATTCACTTTTCTTTTCTAACAAGCCTCTGTGAAAGCTGATATAATCATTACTAATTTCTTCATGTCTCGTATATCAGTCAAAAGAAATAATCTTGTTCTGTAATTACTCCTCACGCCCCGAAACCCGCGTCAGCTGCTTTTTATGTTCATCATTCTCAGAGCCATGGCTCTGTTCAGTTCATTCGGTCTGCGCATGCGCCAAATCAGGACATTGGGACTAAGCCTTACACGTTTGGGTGGAACGGGTAAACACAGTTTGTACATATTTTATTAATCTAATTTAAAGTCGCAGCTTGTTCTGTATATTACATACAAAAGACATAGGTTCGGACGCGTCGATGGTTAGATTAATATGTGTTTTTTATGTTGAAAACCGTGTCGACAAGCTTCAGTCGATATCAGGCTGAATTAGCGACACAATCCTGTATAACGTTACGTTACTTGTCATGTTTTTAATGCCTCGAGGCGGCAAATTTACGTTTCGATATAGTGAAAGAACAGTCTTGCTTGTCAAAACGTACCCGTTTTTATTCATGTGCCATTGGTTAAGTGTGTCCTATGCATGCTAGTAAGCTAACAGTCCTTGAGACATAATGTTACAGAATGATTTATGTTTTTTTTTTTTTTTTTTACATATTTGTTTGTTTTGTTGCTGTTTATTGTAACTTAACGTATGGACGTTGTGTTTAGTGTTTTATGTCAAAATTAATCTTGAATGTTCCTGTTGTTTTTATTTTGAGATACTAAACATGCATAAGCACAAGTGATATAAATGCGTGGTCGTTGACTAAATCTGGGTGTCTGTTCTGTCATTCTCAAGGTCCACAGTTTCCCTCTCTAACAAGCTGCAGGAATCATGGGAGCTGGTGAGTCCTTTTAGTCTTTTTTGGCCCGAGACTATGTGATATTCTCAAGGATGCTCTTTTGTTTTTCTTAACGTTGCTAAGATATGTAATGGGTCTGTATGCTGAGCCTGCTAGTGATAATGGATGTCAAGTAAAGGACATATGTCCAATTAGTATTAATTACAGATTATCAATTGGGGTCTCAGCCTACATAGCGCCTCTAATATTTAATCCATGACTAATCTGATATGTATGGCTCACAATATAGCATCTGTTTATTTCTCCCACTCTCAATGGTGAGAAACAGTGGGCTACTCTTTTTCAAACTTCCTGTGCCAGGGAGGAACTGGCGTTTCAAAGAAATGACTTTGTTAGCCCCCCTCCTTGTTTCTGTGCTGTACGCTTATTGTTTGTATTTCCACCAGTGTTCCTGCCAGCAGATGCCGCACACTCGGTGTTGCGGAGGCTCCCGAGAGCTAACTTCTTCTTGGAGGAGATGAAACAAGGGAACATCCAGCGGGAATGCAGGGAGGAAATCTGCAATTATGAAGAAGCCAGGGAGGCATTTGAGAATGATGAGAAAACTGTGAGTTTGGGGTAGATTTGTGCTCCTTTTATTTTTGTTGTTGTTGCATGAACTTGAACACTACTTCTTAAATCATTCCGCTCTGTGTCATTTCCTCTAATCAGGAAGTGAGCATTATCGACAGGAAAGCCTCGCTGGGTTCACATTTTCTTGGGATGACTAATGATGTGTTAGTCAGATTAAGGATGTTTGGGGTGTGTGTTGTTGCAGGAGTTTACACTGTATATTCAAAATGACAGAACAATGATAAGCTGAATATGTGATGGCATAATCTATTTTCTAATCTAATTTTCACACTCATGGGTTTCTTTGAAGCTATAGTCGTAGTAGTTGGGGGAACTTCTAAAGTGGTAAATGAGAGATTACATTAATTTTTTTTTCTGTGTTCCCATTTGCTCAAATAACAAAAGGAAAACCCCACAATAGTTTTTCAAAACTTTCAAAAAGAGTAAAAAATTGAGATCGATTGATAACAGCAGTCAGAAAAGAGAAAGACTTCAACTTTACCGTCACTCAAAGCTGCTGTATTAGAAACACCCTCACAGCAGCTTTAAGTAGTTTTTTTTTTATTTGATGCAAAGGCAATGCAGTATAGTGTTATAAATGTACATAATAATTATTTTTAAATTGAAAATATAAAAAACAGAATTAAGAAAATTACCTTTAAAAGGCATCATTACAGTCTGAAAAAGGTTTTATTGCAATTTTTCTAACAATTTAAATGCAAAAAAAACAAAAAAAAAAACACCTACATGTTTGCGGCATGCACAGTTTGGCCCAAAAATGTGGTGGTATTTTTTTTTTTGTTTTTTTTTAAATATAAAAATCACTATATGATGATAATGATGTAATGCGTAATATCATTATTTAGATGTATTATTATAATTATTTCGATTATTGATATTTTTATTTAGATCTAAATTACATTAAAAAATTAAATAACAAAAAAATAAAATATTATATTAATTATTTTAAAGTACAACTTTAAAATCAAGTGACCCAATCTCACAGCACAGGCAGAGATGAGTTTGCATGAAGCAGCATTTACTGTGAACTAAGACACTGAAAAAACTGGACCGTGATCCAGGAGCATGTAAAAGTGCACTTATCTGTATTTAATTAAATCACAATTTTATTTCAATCATCAGTTTTGTTTCGATTAATTGCAGACTTTTTGTTTTGTGTTTCTTTTACCTTGTGACCCTTGCAGAGGCGATTCTGGGAGGAGTACCAGCGTGAGAGCAGCCCTAGGCCTGGAGGCCTTGAGTCCATCGCTGGTGGCGTTCATTCCCTGTACCTGATCTTACCACTGCTGCTGGTTTTGCTGCTCATTGCTGCAGTTTCTATCACAGTTTGGAGATGTCACTCACGCAAAAGATCCCAGCAAAGCCCTGCCATTGGGCGTCCACAAAGAGACACAACCCTATCTGTGGTGTCAATGGACCAGTGGGGTCGGGACTACCATCCTGACATCAGTCCTCACTCCGAGATCAGCGCCCACAGTAGCCCCGCCTACCCAGGCGCTGACCTCACACCTGGGCGGGGCAGTCGGGGTGACCCACCCCCTTCATATGAGGAAGCTGTGGGCCATACAGATATACAGATTGAAACAGAGCCTCCACCACAATATGAAGACATCATCAGTAACCACAGTAGCACCGTTGTCATCTCCCAGGGAAAGTAATGCATCTTCCAGGCACCAATACTGTATATTTTTTTACAACTTCACTATTCCATGACAGGCTTTATTTTCAATTCCAGCACTAACAAAACTAAAGCTAAACTGCTTTAAAAAAATGTGATGTGAAGGCCAAGTATGGTAACCCATAGTCTGAATTTTTCCTCTGCATTTAACCCATCCAAGTTAGTGCACACACATTAGGAGCAGTGAGTCGTGAACACACACTGCTGCAGATTTCTTTCATTTCAGAAATGATTTCAGAACTCATGACGGCTGGAATCTTGACCCAAGCCCAAATCTAATGACAATGAAGTACTCACACACATTCTTCCTAGTATGATTTACTAAGAAATGAGCTCAACATGTTTTTTCTTCAGTTGTGGCCTCTTATTGGACCATTTAGAACTATAATACTAAATCGTAAGATTCAGTGAAAAAAAAAAAATGCACAATATTTCCAGGAAGTTGTACACTTTAATGTTTACTGACATGCTATAATTTAAGGTTCATTGTAACCTTCAGAGATAACAATTTTAGCTTGGGCTATCTCTGAAAACATTCATTACATATCAATGAAACATTTCTAGTTGAGGTTTTAAACACTGTGTTAGATTTAGTTAACATCATGTTGGTAACTGTTCAGCTGAATGGATAACCAATTAACAATGTTTGGTCAATGTTATCAGCAATGCTGTTTCAAGCATAATTTCCACAAATCCTGAATTTGTGTAGCATCAGCATTCTGAATGAGCCAGAGTTGTCAGCGTGTGTGAAGTTTTGACGCACATTTGCTGTAGGAAAATACAATACTGAGCTATTGTATTGTACAAGTGTGGTTTGAGTTTTGTCATTGCAGTTAAGCCACATTGAGTTCCATGGAAAGACATGTTAACTAAATGGTCTATGCAACAGTGCTCTCTTTTTCTCCATATTTTTGGAGCAGTTTACATGGTCACAGCCTTGTGAAATTTATTGTGGCCAAGGATTAAGCAGGCATATTTAGCATCCCAAGCTGGGAATACTAGAACTGAACAAGCAAGAAAAATGTTCCACAGTGGAAGTGATTATTAAGGAACAAGAACCATGCTTTTTGTTTGTTGTGAGCTGTGTGCAGACTTTCTTAGATTTGTTTTAGAGTACATAACTTTGTTTTGTTTCTCTAACCTCTAACAGTTATTGACCAAGCTTTTTACTGGACGAAGGCTGATTACGCACTTGACTAGATTATTTGAAACGATTTCAAGCCTTTCACACTATAGTTTTGGTTTATAATTAACAACGTGAGGACTAGCAGCAGATGTTTCCCACTATAAATAGGGTCCACTACAAAGCAAAACTCTTTTCTCCATGACAAATTATTTTTTTTGGTAACACTTCACCTGAAACCTTTATGTATAATACATTATAAAGGGTTTCATGATGTACATTTTAATGCATTGTATATTTTCATAAATAATTGTTAAAGTTAAAATGCATTATATTTGCAGGTTCTTTGTTACATCTAAAATGGGGTTTGCCATGTTTTAATACATTATTTTTTACATTTGTAACAATGAATAGATCATGTATTATGGTTGTGGTTGCACTCAGTCATGAGACCATTATGCTTTAAAAGGCATAATTAATATGCATTAAATATGCTTTTATAAATAATGCATTACATATAAAGGATTCAAGTAATGTGTTACTGATTTTGCCTGCCTGGTGAAAAGTTTCAGACTGTTAAACAAATATGGAAATTTGACGCTAGCTTTCAGGTTGGGCTTGTCTGTGTTTAACAGCAAGCAGACACTTTTCAGTTCTTTCTTGGTTTCGTACTCTTGTTTTCTACTCAGGCCCCAGCTACACTAAAGAAAAACCAAGAGAATTTAAGATTAGGATCAAATTAGGGAACAAACCGTCCCCTAAAATTAAAAGGAAAAACTTGACAAGGAAACGTTCAGTATTAAATATCAGGAAACTGTGTGTTTATGGGTGTTGGGGAAGGGGAAATATAATGGAAAACAGTTAATGCTTTTGTATTTGTTCAGTAGCTATGAGTGAATGCACTTTTTTCAGGGCACCGATTGCTCTTAGTAAAGGAATATTATTTAATGTGTAAAGGAATATTAATGGAAAAATGTGGCAAGGCTGTTGGATTTCTACGGTTTATATTTTCTGTTCATCAACGACATGCTCGGCTTACATAAATATGCAATAAAATACATCACCAGCATTAACTCAAGAAAGCTTCGTGAAAATTAAAACAGTCTCACTTTGCCTAAAATTGTTTGTTTTTAAAAATGTTATGAAATAAGACTACTGTCACTTGAAATACAGTCTGATGATGTTGCAAGTTTGGCTGGAGTTGCTGTATATTTGCAGGCTGATATTTCTGTGGTAGTTAGGAGTGACTGTGGTGGTGTTTATTGCTTAAGCCTTACTCAGAGATAGATAAAAATAGAAAACAAAAATGTATATATAAATGTGTTTAATTTTTTGTAATGATTGAGCTTGACTTTTTATTTGTAATAAAAAGAAATGTGGCCCTCAGTCCTCTGACTTTGTTCATCAACTGCTCGGTGAACCATTGTTTAAAATGTTTACTTCTAGTCACAGTAGGGATAGTAAAGTATTTTACATTGTTACAAAAGATTTTTTTTACTTAAAATTAATGTTGTTCTTTTAAGTTGACAATTTATCAAAGAATCCTGAAAATAGCTTAAAGGGCACCTATTATGCCCCTTTTTACAAGATGTAATATTGGTCTCAGGTGTCCCCAGAATGTATGTGAAGTTTCAGCTCAAAATACCCCACAAAAATGTCATTTTTGGGGCCTGTTTAAAAATGAGCTGTTTTGGTGTATACCACCTTGAGCTGCATATCCCCGACCTGCCTTTGGATGAGGCAGTACTTCCTATGATACCTATGGCAGTAAGCACGCAGAAGGGCTGACGCCGCCTTCACACTGGCAGTTGAAATCAGCTCCGATGCGGCTGCGAAACGACCGGAAGTCATTCATTTCCTATGGAGATTCGCAGACCGCATGCGAATGGGTCCGAAACGGCTCCGACCGAGTGCGGTGCGAAGAAAATCGTGTCCGTTGGTCATCCGGATGCGTTCAAAAATTTGAACTCTTGCGAAAAGCTACGGACGGTTCCTATCCGACAATTCCAGCGGAAGTTGACCGTTGCTATGGTACTGATAAACAAACCTGAATTATTAACTTTTAATAAAATAAATATTGATTTTATAACGATAAGTTGTGATGTCATTTTTTATTTTCATGACTTTCTAACGTTTATAAGGGCAGTTAATACAATTAAATTGAAGGTAGACATTGAACTATTGACCACTATATCACATTTTTTAGCCGACCTGACATGTCAACGTCCTGAGCAACTTTCCTCACGCAGCATAACCCTAATCAGAGAGATCATACAGAACTGACAGAATCAAACTTTAATCTCTCCGCCATTTTTGTTCTACCCGCGTCCGACCCGACGCTTTTCACTGTGTAGTACGACATCCGTTGGGAACGTATTGCGTATTACGGAGCTGATTTCAACTGCCAGTGTGAAGGCAGCGTGAGAGAGTGAGGGAAACCGCATGCGACTCATGCATGCATCTTATTTCATCACACAATGCATTGCAACCTTCAAAAGCATTTTGCACTTCTCAATGTTTACCAGTTACTATTAAACCTTGCAACATTTTTCTTAAATCACAAGCCATATTTAGCTTTGATTTTCTACCAGCTTGTAATTTACAATTGTAATTAACAGAAAAGACAACACTCTTGCTGCCTTCTGCTGGCCATACTGTCCGCTTTCCAGCAGATAACGCACGCTCAACTGGCGCTCTGTCCGTGTCCACAACCGACATGTTTAATAGTCTGACATTTAATAGATTACAATAAACCGACCGAAGCAAACCTTATTGTTCGTCCATTTCAGCGACCAATGCATTGGGATTACGCATGTGTGCACACAACTAATAGTCTGTTAAATGGCAATTTAAACACGGTGGTAGCGCTACCGTCCTTACCTCGTCAGATGAACAGCTGATGTAAAGTTAGGCCTATCAGTCGAATACAGCTCCACAACTTCGCTGGAAGTATCGATCCTCTCTGGCGCGCTATGCAGCCGATGAGCGTTGACTAGCAAAGCGGTCCCCTTCTCGCCGTCCTGATCAGCTGATTACCAGACGAGCCGCAGCCGGTGAAACATTCCTCGCATTCACCGTCCCTTTCCTCGTCGCCGCCGCCACCACCAACGATATGGAAAAGCGCTTCCTCTAATTCTCCAAACGCGTCTTTAAACTCCACCAAGCAAAAGTTTTTGACTTTAGATGTAGAGGCCATGCTCAAACTTTAAGCCCCTGAGATGCTTTCCCAGGAATTGAGTAGTTGACGCACTTTCACCTTTAAAGTTAAACGAAAGAAAGTCCAAGTCATCTTTGTAGTTAAACCATGAGTTCGGTTAATTTCCATCATATCGCCATATCCAGACAAACTTCATTGCACCTGTAACCTATTTAACTTTGTACCGGCATCGGCGTGTGCGCGTGAATATGTGTTTGTGTGTGGTCAAAAACTGTCTGCTTCCGGATCACATCTAGGAACCAAAGACTGATTCCGATTTATGGTAAGAGCGCTAATTGGCTCTTAAACAGACGTTCCTGTAATTTTTAGATAGATAGATAGATGAACACCTTTACTAAATAACTTATACTTTATTTAAATGTATACCAAATTAAACCACATTTAAAAACAATTTTAAAAACTTTTTTTAATACACAGAATAGCAACATTACAATGTCCTGAGAATATTTCTTATTATAAGTTTAATATGTGTAAAAACAAAAAGGCCAGTAGTGGAATAGAGATCTGTTAGTGCATGACAGGACACAAAAATGGACTCGGACTTGCAGAAAAGCAATTATGGCATGGCGGTTGCATCAGCACAGGTTAAACATGACCATTTAGACATTCGAGGGCTGACACGTCCATTCAAAAACAGCATACCAAGGTCATTAACAGTTTTGAATACACCAGTAGTGATAATTAAAGCAGTGCAAGCAGAAACAAAGCTGTAACTAAGTAACACTGTCACAGGAGTAAACACTGCCTCTCCAGTGAATCCATATAGCCAATGGCATTGATAGAGAGTTCATTACAGCCAAGCCAGGAATCGTGCAGTGTAGCAGTCAGTCAGCAAAGAGCCAATGAGTCAAATGTGTCCTGCCATAGTCTATTTGACTGAATGTTGTTGTTCTATCTTAATATCTAGAGGTTGCATTTTCACAATTACCAACCAATATTGGTGAGTGGACGAATGAATCTTCCTCTCAATCATATCCATTCTTTGGGGTTTCGTAACACCTCCAGTATCTCTGCTTCCTTAGTGCCTTTTGTGGGCTCATGCATGTACTCCCACCTGAAATGAAACATTTGAGTTTTTAATGTCAAACAATAGATAATAATTACAATAGACCATCAGAAAATTAAAAAAATTATTAAAAATCAAAAATTACATCTGTTTTGGTGTGGAGATCCTGGTATAAGTTGACCTCAGGGAAAAAAGCTTTTTTTTTTTAAAAACATTTAAAGGGATAATTCACCCAGAAATGTAAATTCTGTCATCGCCCTCAGGTAGTTCAAAACCTGTATGAGTTTGGTTTTGACATTGATTTCCATAGTAGGAAAATAAATATGAAATATAATGAAAATATGGAATTTAATGGCTACCCTAAACTGGTTACCAACATTCTTCAAGATATCCTCTTTTATGAGAAACTCATACAGGTTTGGAACAACCTGAGGGTGACTAAATGATGACAGAATTTTCATTCTGGGTGAACTATCCCTTTAAAATATGCAAGTAAACAAAGTTCACAAAAATAACTTTAAAAAAAGCTTGAGAGGATCTTCTATGGAAAAGGCAGTAGCTGGTTTGATAGACACAGTTTGCTCATACCTTGCAGTAAGCGGTAGGGACATCAGGATGCTCTCGATGCGTGACCCAGGTGTGGCCAGGCCAAATTTCACCCCTCTGTCATACACTAAATTAAATTCCACATATCTAAGAAACACAAAGAGAGTTTGGTTACCTGCTGAACATTTATATCAATATGACATACTCTTAGACACTTCAATTAAGTCTCATAACTATCTTATATTACCATACTACTATAAAAAAATATTTATATTAATAATTATCAAATATTATTAATATCTTTATTATTAATTAAAAATATTATTAAATAAATATTTGTAATATTGACAATAAGAGCAAGAATTTGCTGAATTGAATAAAAAGCCAAAATAACTTCTATTTTAATAAATATGTTGTGTTGTGTATATATAAAAATTCAATTGTAAATATAATTTTTAATATAGTTCTGTATGTTATGGGTTATAAAATGGTTCTTCAATATTATACTTTTAATCAAAATATATATTCATATACAACGTTTCGGGTCAGCAAAATGTTTTTGAAAGAAGTCTCTTATCAAGGCTACGTTTATTTGATCAAAAATACAAAAGATTATAATTAATACATTTTTGTTGTTAATATATTTTAAAATGTAATTGATTCCTGTGATGGCAAAGCTAAATTTTCAGCATCATTACTCCAGTCTTCAGTGTCACACGATCTTACAGAAATCATTCTATTATGCTGATTTGATGCTCAAGAAACATGTTCATATTCCTCAGTGTTGAAAAGATTGATACATAAACAGTAGTGTATATAAAAAAGAAATTCCAAAACAGTACAGACTTTCCCTTGAACTAACCTGCCTCTCCTGACTTGCTGCCAGCCCTTCTCCTCCGGAGTAAAGGAGTCATTTAGATGTTTGTATACTATGGGCAAGTAACAGGGCACCACAGTTTTAGCACAGCTCTTCACAAAATTAAAAGCCTCCTCCTGATTGGGCGAATCCAAATCATCAAAAAAGATCCCGCCAATGCCTCTCGTCTCTCCTCGGTGACGGATGTAGAAATAGTTGTCGCACCTTCAGTAGAAAACAAAAACAAATTTTAATTATTTTAATGATGCTAGCCAAGTGTTTAGGAAGAAAATCTATTTAATTACAAATGAAATTAAATAAAAAAAGAACAGAAA